CAGGAGTTCGAGACCAGCCTGAGCAAGAGCAAGACCCCATATCTACAAAAAATAGAAAAATTAGCCAGACATGGTGGCACATGCCTGTCATCCCAGCTACTTGGGAGGCTGAGGCAGGAGGATCACTTGAGAACTAGTGACATCACCGTATTTAACAGAAAGGAGGAGGGAAGTTAGAAGTGAGCTAAATTAGGTTAACAGATAAAAATTAAGTGGATAAATCAATAAATAATAGCACATTATTCAGAATTTTGGACAAAAATTGCTCCAAAGTGATTGTTCCTTGGGAGCAGGACTAAAATTAGGTTGGAGGGAGTCAGTTCTTTTCACTGAAAGATTTCTTTACTATTTGATATTTACGTATGTATATTAACTGGATAATATTTTTAGATTTTTGATTAAAAGATTAAAATGCATATCTGTACAAAATCCCTTCACTGTCATTTTACAGATAAGAAAATGCTGCATGAGGACAGGAGTCAGCTAATGGACTGGTGAAGACAGGGCCCTGACATCAAGACAGTACAGCCCCTGCTCCAGGGAGACCAATGTCATATTCCTCAACCCTAAAAGGGGAAGATGCAACACCTACCTCACAGGGCGGTTGTGAGGATTAAGTTGTTGGATTAACGGGTTGTGAGGAGCACAGATGGAACTGGTTAGGATGTGCCAGCTGCTACAGCAATGGATGAGTATCCCCAGTTAAGTCCATGCTCACACTGGCATGGAAGGTAAGGTAAAAAAACAAAGCAAGAACTTATAACAGATGGAACGCTTCTTTGTTTCAAGCCGAGTGACTTTCACCAGGTTATTTAATCTCCCTAAACTACACTTTACTCATCTACAAAATGAGGGTATTGCTTTTCTTCAGCAATCCTGGTGGGTCTAAGAATTGTTCACAGGCTCGTCCCCCATACACCTGCTACCTGATCCCATCTTTCTCTCTCTATCGTTCATGTAAAGCTTATGACTTGTGAGCCTATGGTTGTTCGCAGGGGGAATAAAATACAAATTGAGCGGAACAGACTATTCATTAAACCAGCCTCAAAACTAAGAATGTTGTATTGGCTTTTTTGGATTTTTCCAAGTAAATAAATACATAAGAGAGCTGAGAGCAGCTTATTGTCAGACATGTTGCTAGTCTTTGCAGACGAGAGTACTTAACCAGATGCAAGCTAAATTGATTCAAGCGTATTTGTACAACTAGGTCATGTGAAATTAGTAGATTGTCCAGAGCACCATCTTGACACTAATAACAAGAAAATACTTACAAAGATTTTTTTTCTCAGTAAGAAGTACCTCTCTAAATATTTTATAGAATCTTTATTATAAAAAAATCATAAATTTTAACTATTATTTCATGAAAAAAGTCATGATTTAAACAAGCACTCTTTCAAAGATGAGTTCCAACTGACTGATGACCAAAGAGACAAAAAAAACCCAAAAAACAACACAACACAATCTCTAAAAAAAAAAAAAAAAAAAAATAGCCCGGGGTGGTGGAGCATGTCTATGGTCCTAGCTACTTGGGAGGCTGAGGCAGGACTGCTTCGCTTGAGCCCAGGCATTTGAGGCTGCAGTGAGCTGTGACTGCACCACTGCAACTCCAGCCTGCGTGACAGAGCAAGACCCTATCTCTAAAACAAAACAAAACAAAACAAAACAACAACACGACCTGAATGATAGATTATTTAACCTCAGTTAACCAAAACAGAGTTCCGTACCTTTCAAAGAAACATAACATGTCCTCCTGTTGCCATGGCAATGCCTATGCTGGGCACCACTTATTAGTGATGGAATTGCCAGGACAATCAGTCTGAGTAGATGTGTGTGTTTTACACACTGCATGTAGAGAGCTAAACCTCATAAGGAGAGAAAGATGACCCAACGATGACAAGGTACCCTGAGGACCAAGGACCTTGGTCTAGGAGCACAGAGAAGACAACTTACATATGTGTGGTGGCATTAACCCTTCTCACACATCTTGGACATCTCGGCCCTTCCTCTCTTCCTATCTCACTGTGTTTCATGTTTGCAACCACATGCAAACATGAAACCCAGTAAATGAAGCAATGGGAAAGTCAGAGTTAAATTAATCGGATTATGAACTACTGAATAAACAGAGAGGAATACATTTTTCTCAGACTATCTCATTACTTTCACCCCTTTAAATGAAATTGAAGTAGGACACGGAATCTGTGTGGCAAAGTCTAGAACTCTTGCTGTGGATTCAGCATCACGTGCTATGTATAAAAATAGAGCACAACGTAAAAAAGGGGAGCTGCGGCAATTTCCCTGAAACAGTTCCCTTGACCTTTTTCTGAACTGTATTTCTGTTTAACTGAACATTTGCTGTGTAATGTTATGAAGTATATTTATAGCAATACTGTTCAGATCCTGATTCAAAAAAGAATTATGAGAAATATGGACAGGCATGTTAATGTTCACATAGACCTATATACTTGGGTCAATGAATAAGTGGGATAATATAAAAAATGTTTAATTAAGAAAATATAAGGTATGTTTAATTTTTTTATAGAGTAGCATTGCTTATAATTCTGTAAGTACATACTAGGCAAAGTGAAAGCTAACCAAAAGCTACATGATGTTGGAGAATATCATTGGATAATTTTAAATGTTTCTACATAAAACCCTAGGACCCAGAACTAAGAATAAGGCAGAAATTTTCACCAAAATGAATTATATTAACCAATCTGTGAAAACCTATTTGCAGCACTGGGTGGTCATGAGGAAGGAACCAGGGGATGGCAGGTTTCTCCAGCAAAGTAGGTGGGAGTAGAAAGAAGTGACTTTGGGCAAGTCACTACCTCCTCACCAAATGCAGGTGGACTCATCTGCAAAGGGGCAAATAGTAAGAGCTCCTGAGCCCAGCTCACACAGTTATCAGGTTCTAATGCAGGAATGGATATGACCTGCCTATCATAAAGCACTAGTCAAATGTTAGTTGCATTTTTTTTTTCTCTTTTTAAAACACAGAGGCAATATGGTCTACAAGCATGAGCTTTGGAACCAGACAGGATCCCTAGGTTTGTATCCCAGCACCAACCCCTGAGGAACAGGAACAAGTGAATAAGCATCTCATACTCCCAATTTCCTCTTCTGTAAGATGACATACCGCCTCTGTAGTGGACTGAGTATGGTCAAACTGCCTGCTTGTTTTCTCTCACCAGCCTCTCCCTGTGAAGCCCCTGCAGGAGGATTGATGTTGGTTCTGCCAAGTGACTTCTCTGGCCCAGAGAACACGAGTGGAAGTGGCCACTCGGAGTGGCAGCTTTAAGAGCCATCTCGTGAATGTGCCACCACTGTCCTCCCTCTGCCATGACAATGACCCAGATGGCAGCTGCACCTTTGGCCAAGCCCCAGAGTGGGAGGAGCAGCCCCCGACCTATATGTGAGCCTGTCAATCCCTTTAGAAAGTTACTATGGAATAAAATACAACAATTTCCAATTTCTCCTTTGTGCTGATCTTAAAATCCCCTTCAGGTCCATAATGCATTTCTATGCCCAGACTTGGCTTTGGAAGCTTTCACCTGAAGGAGTTAAAAAATTAGGCCATTCTGGCATATTGACTTTTTGAGTTAAGGCACTTAAAAAAAAACAGCAGGTACAAGAAGATCACTCTGACCTTCATTCTGTTTCTTAAAAACAGGAGATGAAATTCCCATGTGAAAGATGCCCTCCCTGTATTAGAATGAAAATAACATTCTTACCAACAAGGACAGGAAGTTGAGACAGAGAGAATTCTGCACAGGCCTTATTAGAATAACTCTCATCTTTAAGCCTTCCAACATAATTTAGTTGCTTTTTCACAGCTTGCTATTCTTTGTTCAATTCAGCATACAAGTGTTTGATTCTGACTGCTTCTTTGGGTCTTCATTTCCTCCTGAAGGCTTCTGTGCCATGTGAAACTTACATGAGCTTTTATATAAGCTCATACAGCTCATATTAAATGTGTATGCTTTTCTCCTGTTAATCTGTCTTATGTCAATTTAATTCTCAGACCCAGCCAAAAAACCCCAGAAGGGAAGAGGTAAAGCTTTGCCTCCCACTACACTCCAATTATATGGCCTTGTAAATTCCAGCCTCTCCTGACTATACAATACTTAAATCCTTAACCTAATTTATCTAAAGCGCACACAGTTACAAGATCATTTACATCAACATATGGGATTACTGAATGTGTTTGCATTTTCTAAAAAGTTACTTTGGTTTAAAATATAATTGGAAATATGAATAGTTCTTAGTTTATGCAATGGAATAATGTGTCTGCCTCTTTGCTATTTCACGTGAATTTGTTCAAAGTTTTTATATCATCATTCTTACAATAATTCTTAAAATAATCTTAAGCATTTACTTCTTAAAATAATTTAGTTTCCCTCATTTTACTTACTAATTTTCAACATCTGTGTCATTACTCCTACTTAAAATGTTTTAAAACAATCTAAATTGTAGAAAAATCTTAGAAAACTGGCTTCTTGATAGGTGTGTGAATGAGGTGACTCACAGGGGTGTTGAGTGACCTCCCTCGTTGTCAGGGGTGGTCCGTTGCCCAATCACTTTTTAACCCTTGGCACTCACACCAAGACAACCAGCCAGTAGTAAAACATCCAGAAATTATTTTCTTACCATTTTTAACAGAGTGCTGGGTCTAAGTTTTCACTCTAACTAAGATCATGAAAACAACAAAGCCAAATGTTCACCAAACCATGTGAATTCTTTTACAGTATTCTGGTGAGCCAGTATGTAAGCCAAATATATGGCAAAAGTAGTAAACAATTTCTGAAACAGAAATAAGAGTCATAAAATTGGCTTTTAGTTGATATGCAGCATAAGGAAAACATTTTGGTTGTTTTTATTGTTATCTTTAGGTTGCCAAATAGTTATTTGCAAAGTTATTTTTCTGATCAGAGTTGTCATTTGTATATTTCCAGTGACATCCATCAGAACCCTGCAGTATAATCAGTTTTGGGACAACTTACGAAGAGAGGACATGCTGGAGGTGCTCCGGAGAAACTGGTGTAAGCCGTCTTCACTGTCACTGGAGCTGGCTATACTGTTCCGCATTTCCAGCATGGAGATCTGTGTGCAAAGGCTGAGCTGGTGTTCCAACTTTTTGGCCTTCTACAGAGCAAAATTTTAAGAGTTCTGAGATTTATGGGACTTGAATCATATATTCCCTTTAAGCAGTATGTATTTTTCCTTGAAATAAGTTAGGGCATAAAAAAGAGTACCTGGTACAAATTAAGTGCCCAATAAATGTAAGCTATGATTTTCGTTATTAGCTATTACTACAAATACATTATAAAAAATTTAATATACTGAATAGCCTATTTATGAACCTGAAACAATAAACACCAACTTAACTTGATAAACTGCCTAGACGAGATGACTTACTATTAAAAGGGGACATACTTGTAACTCATTGTCTCTGGAGAACAGTACTTATCACAGAGATGATGTTTTGTAAGCTCTCTTTTGTAATCATTTGAATTTCCTCCTAAACAAATATGGGAAAATTAAGATCAAATTGCAAATTGTTGAAGATCTATGCAGCTCTGAAATTCCACACCTCTCCTGTCTCCTGTGGACTTCCAGGGAGGGTGCCTGACCAGGAAGCCAGGCAGGACTGGAAGACACCACAGTTCAAAGGCCAACTTCCTGCTAGCTGGGATCTGTCAGCCCTTCTCTGTTGGCAGCCTTCTCACTACCCTGCCCTCCTTGGCCTTCTTCACCCCCGACTCCCTCACCATCTTCCTTAAAAGGCTCTTGAGGAAGACAGCACCTCATCCCCATAAATGCTGGTCCCTGACTCCTCCCTAAGTGATGACAGATGTAATCACTACAGAATACTTTCGTGCTCTCAAGAAATGATTCCTTGAATGATCTCTACAAGTATCCCCACTGCACTTAACATATGGCTAGTTAATGAAAATTCAGGAAAATATATATTCCATAAAGTGAGGTATACCTCACATACCTATTTATTAACAAAATAAACAAACTTTAAAAATCACTTACTTTATCATTTAAGGTGGGATCATTCAATGAGTAGAGCTTATTTGTGATGTCTTTTCCAATGAGATACCTAAATATTTCATATAGGAAAGGTTCTGATTCCAGAAAGTAAGTCAATCTTTCTCTTGACCAACATAAAAATCTGCAATTATCATCTGCAATAATGGTGACCTGCCAAAGAAACAAGCACACAAGAAAAAAGCGCATCTATGTATATAAATTATGACTGTAGTTACTTGGGAGAAGAGAAAAATAGAATAATTTAGTGGACATTCTCACAGTAATAATTTTTCAAATTAGTTAAAATAAGATCCAATGCACACAGCATCTGTAACTATGTATAAAATCATGTTTAAAAACAAGCAATCTGGCCGGGCGCGGTGGCTCACGCCTGTAATCCTAGCTCTCTGGGAGGCTGAGGTGGGCGGATTGTTTGAGCTCAGGAGTTCGAAACCAGCCTGAGCAAGAGCAAGACCCCGTCTCTACTAAAAACAGAAAGAAATTAATTGGACAACTAAAAAAAAAAATATATAGAAAAAGATTAGCCTGGCATGGTGGCGCATGCCTGTAGTCCCAGCTACTCGGGAGGTTGAGGCAGGAGGATCGCTTGAGCCCAGGAGTTTGAGGTTGCTGTGAGCTAGGATGATGCCACGGCACTCTAGCCTGGGCAACAGAGTGAGACTCTATCTCAAAAAAAAAAAAAAAAAAACCAAGCAATTTGCAGAGTAAATAAAAGCAAATTCTCTGAGTTTTGTTGTTTTGTTTCATGAGGTCTGGTGACAGAGTGGTCACTAGGTCCATATGACTGATGTAGAATGTACTACATTAAGGTTGCAATTGGACATATGATTTATAGCAAAATACTTCTTTATACCCTATGGATTACAATGAGGTTTAAAAATACAGCTTCAAGCAAATGAACTAAGGTAAGATTAGTGAGGCAAGCTGTAGAGGAAAGATCTGCCCAGCTGACTCCAAAAATACACACCAGAAATTGAAAAAACTTTAAGGGCCCAGGCTGTTGCTGATGAATATGGCTGGTGGTGGTCCTTCTACCATAGGTGTTTCCAGAGTGTGACTTTTCAAGGCTAGCTCCAGGGTAGCCCACTGGGGATATTCACAAAGACTCTTCAATTAGTTCGGAACTGGAAACCATACCCTTCCCTTAAGTATTGTTAAGTAGGAAAGCAGAAAGGCACTGTAACAGAAAGGCAGAAAGGCAGAAAGGCAGAAAGCAGAAAGGCACTACCCAGAGCTCAAGTATGCCTCAAATAAATCCCTTCTCCGAAGTAAGGGGCCATGCCCGCATAACTTAGTGCCAGGAAGCCCTTCCTCCTATGCGGATCCTCTTCCATCAGTTAATACTCCTCCAAGCTTCATTACGGCTCTCTTATCACTAAATCCAAACTCATCTGTTGACACATCTGTCTCTCCTAGGCACTCTGATGGCAGGGACTGCGTACCTTTCATGTCTGAATGCCTAGCTGCCAACATGGAGTGGTGCTCAATGCATGATTATTGTATGAATGAATTAACAAATGAACACAAATACTGTAGAAGGCAAAAAACATCTTTACCTCCTCAACATTAAATCCAATGCCCGTCCTAGTAGGAGATTAAAAAGGTTTGTTAAATTGACATGAAGTCCTATCTGGGCCTCAGAGCAAGTATTTTCAAAGGGGCTCTTTCCCTTTCCTTAGTCACAAAATTAAACATATTTCAAATGACAAGGGTGTATTTATGTCTACCAAGAGAGGAAATGAAAAAACGAGCTTCTCTCCTTATGTCAACAGGCTGAAATCTGATCGTTAGCAAATGAGAGCATTTCGCTACCTTAAAAAGTGGGTCAATGTTCCTAGAAAAGTTTGTGCTTATTATATTAAAAGTAGAAATGCCCCAAATCAAACATATTTGGATTCAAGAAATGCATTATCAGCTCTAAGACATCATAAAACACTAAATTTCATTCATTGTGTCAATATAGTTTACTATGCATGTACTTTATGCCAGATACTGTTCAAGGCACTGAGGTTACAGTGCTGAACAAGAAAGAAAAAATCCTTGCCCCGTGAAGCTTACATTCTAGTGGAGGAAGCTAATAATAAATAAAGAGTTATGACAATCTCAGGTGGCAACAAGAGTTTTGACAACAATGGAATAAGGGAAAGCGGTAGACAATGACTAGGGATATAATGCTACTCACTTTGTATATGTATTGTACTTGTAGACATTTAAGGTGCTTTTACATCTAACAAGTATGTGGATCCTCAAAAGTGCCTTTACGATAATATTCTTCCCCATTTTTCAAATGTCAAATAATAAGGACCAAAAAACTTATTCACAAACACAAGTTAATCAGCGGTAGAGCAAGCACTTTTGACTTTCAGTCCATATATACTTTCCCACCAGGTCAAAATCTACCCAGTGCATCTAATATTCATCAAGACGATCACATAGAAAGTACTCTGGCCTAGTGACCACAAGGTTGGCTGCACAGTTCAGTAAGAGCCCCTCATGCAAAGAATAGCTGAACACACATCAGGAAGCCTACATTTGAGTGGAGGAAGCTGATAATAAAGAAAGAAATGTGATCAAAAATGGCAAGATTTATGTGCTAAGAAGTACAAGCAAATCTTCCCTGGGGAATTCCCAGAAACAGTAGGATACGGGTGAGTAAACAGAATGCAACCAAAAATGTTCCACAGGAGTAACTACAGAAAGGTGAGCAGTGGGTCTTCACGGCAGCCCAGCCGGGCACCTAAGCACTAAGGAGTTAGGAGAACTGAGGTCCCTTTTTTGTGTGAAGATGTCATCTGTGACACTGGAAAATATAATTCTTGTGCAGTGGGGGAAGGAGCTTAAAAGAGGGGTTCAAAATCCTCCAGGAGAAGAAGAAGAAATCGTACTTAAGTGATACACAGGGCATTTAACTTCTCTTCCGCCATTTGAATTACCTTGAGTTTCCTCTGAGGTAAAAAAGTTAAATGCTATTTTTACTATGACACTATAATAATTTCCTTAACAAATTCATTTTTTATTGCTGGTTGAAATTTACTTTAAGGTTGTTTAAATAATTACTGAATATAAATTTAGTAACGATATTCAAACAATAAGCTATACTTATAGTACATATGAGTAACTTACAGGGCCTTAAGAGCAGGGATTTAGTTGGAAGCCAGTAGTTAATGTGCCAACTGAGGTCATTTTACTTGATAGCTAATGCTTCATTTCTGCCAAATAGACAGTTTCAATTAATGATTTCCTGTCACAACAGTAAGTAAAGCATATTTTTAATGAGAATTTTTAATAAAGCAATGTAAGAATTTGTTAAGCTCCCATAAAATAAATTTACTTCTTAAGTTATTAGGGTACTTCAGCAGTGCTACGCATGAGTCCTTGTGAAGAATTTTACTGAAGAGATAAAAGCAAACATGGCAATGGAAGACATAAAAGGCTATCTTTGAGGTAGAGAATGAGACTAAGCATTTGCAACCAGGTTTGCCACGATTACTTCAGGGCACTGGATCAGTCCCTCCTTTTACATTCCAAACCAATTCTATAGCCTGACATAAAAAGGAGACAGTGGGCTCCATCTCAGGAGAATGAGGGGGTATCTGAGACAGTTGTCTTGTGTGCCAGAATCTTAAACAGCGGTCTGAGAACAGGACTGGCTGACTATCCTGAGGGAAGAATTTATTACTTTTTCACACATCACACTGCATTTCACACACCAGAACATGAAAATGTCCTAGAAGTGGTCTATTCAACTATATGCTTATTGAGTTCTCATAAGTACTAAAATAAAGCAGATTCAAAACTGGCAGATTAAATTGCTTCACAGCTTCACCGAAATAGTTACTTAACATTAAGATAATGTTTTCTTTAAATACCAGTTAAAACTTAGTGTTCATTTATTTCATGAGAGCATAGGGACATATGCCTCCAAGACATTCCTCTTCCCTTAAAGTCAATAAAGCTTTGATTTTAAGTCTTTGCAGCATCAGGACATCCTACTGGCTATGGAAAGGCAACAGCATGAGACAGAATATAAAAGAAAAGCTCGTAAATGATAAAGCTCACTTGATATAAAACAACTGCACAAAGAAGAAGAAACCAAACACAAAACATTACTTCTACCTTTTGTAATGATGATACTCAAGATTCTAGCAACAATTATAAATAGCAACCAAAAAGAAAAAAACAGACTCTAAGCACCTACAGATAATGAACTGTAAGTTCAGAATCTGTCCAGCTCTATCATGACGCCTATTATCATTATAATTACTACACATTTACCTGAGCAATACCCGCTGTGCAATCTCAAGAGAGGATCACTGAGTCCGCCTGCCTTTTCTTTCCTCCTTTTCATCCTGTGTTACGATTCATGAGCACCCTAACCACAGAATGGATTTAAAGAAAGAAAAATTCAAAGGAAGTAGGTCCTTGTGAGAACATGAGAAGTGGTCACAGTCAGGGAAAAAGGAGATTAGCAGGTAAAAGGCGTGAGGGTGGAGAAAATGTGACCCCTCACAATTTCAAGCGTCCTCCACCATTGGCACAGGTAGCAAGAAGTTGGCCCTGGGAGCACATAGTATTTTTCATTCAGGAACTTTCTTCAATAAGTGGCAATATATATACTCTTACACAGACGTGTAACCCCTATTTTTTTACTGTTGAGTACCTGCCAACAGGAATGTTTTGTAAACAATCAAAGCACAATCTCTCCTGAGGACGTGCTCTGATAGAGTCGGCTCCAACTGTACAAGACGCAGGTTTGATGATGCTGGAGTAGTTTTTATCCACGGATCAGGAAATGCCACACTGACTCTATGCAGAGAAAAGCTGACTGGGGTTAGGAAAAGCTAAATACTTGTTCTGCACCCAGCTATAGTACCACAATTTTGGTCATGTTTTTGGAATCTTCACAGTAATTACTGGGAATAATTCAACTACCAAAATCTAATCCCTAGTCCCCAAGAAGAAAGAGAGCTATAGCTAGTGGTAGGAATTTCTCTTTTGTTAACTTAATTATAAATATAATTTGAAGTCCAGTGGAAAAGATAGTACATTTTAGTATTTCTGGCCTCCTAGGTTCTACTTGATTCTGAAAACAAAGAAGGTTCAGTTCCTACCCCATCCCCAAATACTAGTCTCCTCAGGATTACATGAGATAATTATCATATAAAACCATCTGCTGCACTGCATGGAGAAATAGATGCAACAGATAAATATTGGGCTTTGGAAGAAGAAACTATAAAAAGGTCAGAGAAAAGAAGGAGAGAGGAGAGCAGTGGCCCTGCACCAGTTTGTAGATGGTGGTGATTAAAGATAAAATAAGAACATAAATCTCACAGCAAAGCTGACCCTCACAATGACAAGGTGAGAATATAAATTAAAGGAGCCAGGATATAGCATTAGCTTTTTCCTTCTGTATTGTAAGCCCAGCCAGCTTGGGAACAGTGTTGCACGTGATGAACTTACATGGGACCTTCTAGCAAAATGCACACAACCTTAACAAGTAGCACAATTACTCAAGGTAGGTGGGAGTGGGACAGGGCTGAAACCACTGTAAATGAAATAAACTGTACGTCTGTAAATTTTCCCTCTTAGCTCCACTCCTGTAGCATCCCAAATTGTAAGGCATCTCAAAATGAGACTCTAAAATAAGAGATTTTGCCTTCAAGAAACACTGACATTTCTTCCTCCCTCAGGTGATAACATCCCCTTCAATTTCATTTCCTACCTAAATAGATTTGCCTTCTTGCTCATAAGCAATCCTGTTCTTGGGATATTTCCTCACTGCTATATATCCACAGGCTGAGACTAAAGGAAACTCTCACCAGTTTTCTTGGTTACTTTCTTACCAATAACAAGGTGAATGAATAAAATAGGAGGGCTGGGCACTTACAGAAAGAATCAGAACAAAGTGCCACGTAATAGAGTAATTTTTTTAAATAAAAAAAGAATCACATAAAATAGTCCACGTCCAAATTATTACTATTATGAAGAACTTTATTCTTCACCCTTAAACATATTAAGCATAAAAATGTAAAGCGATTATTTTTTTTCATAAAGATTAACAAAATAAATTCCCTAGGGCAAAGCCAGTTTCCTGTTTTCCCCCAATAAAAGTAATCAATTACATGATTTAGGAACACTGATTACCTACAACTGACATTTTCCTTTTTTCTCATAATAAAAGCATTAGATGTTTTCTATGGAAAAATTATAAAAATTCAAATAAGCAAACAATAAAAAAATAAAAAAGCAATCAAACTCACAACCTAGAAATAACAGTGTTAACATTATGGCCAAATTAGGATATATCTCTCTAGAACTATTTTTGTGTATATGTACATACACACTGGTTTTTTTTTTTAAGTTTTTAAAAAACTGGGATCATGTTGTAACACCATATGGTAATCTCTTTTTTTCAATAAATCATGTCCACTTTTCCATTAATATCCTTTGGATTCTGTATGAGACACAAACTAGTTTCAATCTGATTAAAACTCATGCAAAAACATACCTGGAATTTTTCACCTTTGTGCATCTGAGTTGATCTAAATTCAGGAGAATCTATAAAGGCACAGGGGTAAATGTTATGCAGAAAATGTCCTCGGTAGGAGACCTTCATTCTGGTAACAGAAATTAATGTTAAAAAATACATAATATTCCACAAATAACACAACCCTTAAAAAGTGCCATAATCTTATGGGATTGTATTTTGTACTAAAGTTTTAAAGATTACACAGATGACAGACATAATTAAAAGCATTTCCTGAGGCACACGTATTTCAAAAACTAATGTAAGGGAAAAAAGGGTCCGGTAGTGAATCAGACAGGTACCTTCTGATGGCCAGCATCACTCTTACAAGGGGAGTGACCATATAATCTGTGACTCAAACTGGGAGATTTCTGAGAGGGAAAAGGATGCTATTAATAATTATTCCAACACAATATAAACTGGCTCTCTCCCCAGAAAACTGAAATTCCTAGAAGTTATATTCTTGTGATATTCAAAAATATAAACATGTCACCTCTGAAGCATGTATGAGCTTCTTGAATTTTAATGCCTTATTTAAACCCACTTCTGGCCGGGCGCGGTGGCTCATGCCTGTAATCCTAGCACTCTGGGAGGCCGAGGCGGGCAGATTGTTTGAGCTCAGGAGTTCGAGACCAGCCTGAGCAAGAGCAAGACCCCGTCTTTACTAAAAATAGAAAGAAATTAATTGGACAACTAAAAATATATAGAAAAAATTAGCCGGGCCTGGTGGCGCATGCCTGTAGTCCCAGCTACTTGGGAGGCTGAGGCAGAAGGATTGCTTGAGCCCAGGAGTGTGAGGTTGCTGTGAGCTAGGCTGATGCCACAGCACTCACTCTAGCCTGGGCAAAAAGAGTGAGAATCTGTCTCAAAAAAAAAAAAAAACCCACTTCTATTTGACTCATTAACTTTAAATAAAAGGTCAAAAATGGTTAAAATATTGACAATTAAGAATTCTGACATCAACAAGATTAAGAGCAGCAAATTCTTCCTAGCTTTCACATGTTGCTCTACAGCATTCCAAAGTATAGTTGTAAAATACAATTTCACCACCAACAAACTCCACGACTGCTTCCTCCATTAGTTGGCAACATTGCCTTCCATTTATTTCCTTCCCAGTGGCCACAGAAATATTTAAGGTAAACTAGGAATTTCGATCTTCACAGGGCACTTACTTTCCCTTCAGGAGAATACTCAGACGGTCATCAACTGAGGTTTTATCCTCTGCAGCATAAGCCTGGCCCTTTTTCAAGGTTTGGATCATGCAAAACTGTCCAGTTAACCTTCTGAACAAATCTGGAGGCACTCGGAGTGGTTCAAACAATCGCCGGTAGATGCCACTGAGTTCCTTTTCAATCTTTACCTGAAATGCAGGAATGACCAGATGTTGCACTACTGCAGCAACCCTAAAACATGGACTTCTGTGGTCTAAACGTGGTTTTGAAAATTTTAAATCTGTGATACATACCATCAGCCTTCTGTGTTTAGGTCAATGGAATCATACACAGAGAGTAAATGATGATAGAGGTTTACACATCAGATGCTAAAAGGGCACTTTTGTAGTCAAACTGAACTCTGAGAGCTTAAGGGGAAGATGTGCACTATTGATCACACCTCTTTCTGTGGGCTGAAATGCAACTGTTGAGGTTTTGAATGTTGTCACAACATTCACCTTCCCAATCTTAGCACCTTCCACAAATAACACAAAACTTTCTGTGAAGCCTTTGTTTCACAGAGAGAAATTACATTAACTTTTAAATACCACAGCAAGAAAATAAACACACAAAATGGGAATCAACGTGGAAACAAGTTTATAAAAATAATATACATTAAGCATTTTATCCCAATATAATTATTATTTTATGCACCAATACAGGAAAACAAACATGCACAGCTGTAATCATTGCTTTACATTTACGTATTCTCAAGAAAAAAGTGTGTAAAAGAGTTTCAGTGTAGCAGTTTCATCCTAAGGGATAGTGAATTCTGTAGAATGGAGAAGCCACTGGCAAATAAGGCTGGCTACTGGAGAAAGAGAAAAGCAATGGTGTAATGACTGTTGTCAGATTCTCCAAGGCCCAAGTCATGCCCCATCTTCGGGCCCTGCATTAGTCTCTGCAAGTCACACTAATTGGATGGATGGAAAACTGCACCGCACTGAGAATGAACTTTGGTGGCCAAATCAAATGGACATCTGTCCCAGTGAAATTGCTGGCAGATATACTACAAAGCTTATAGACCCAGATCATGACAGCTGTTCCAACCTGACGTCACTCTACCATTTGCAATGATCCTACTTGTCCTGCTGTTTCATTTTGATGAAGATCCAGCATTTATATTTTTCAAAAAAGTAGGTTTATAGTCTGAGAAGAAATAAAAACACAGACACTAGGTGATTTACCCACTTGGTGCCATGATCACACTGGCAACTTCTGAACCCTACATTTTGGGATGCCAGCAAGTTCTGACATTCAGGAATTCTAATCCTCGTTTTTACTATCATCTACCTCTTCCACTTCAGAGCTGCTAGTAATAAACATTTAAAATAATTTATTCACAAATATGTTCCACTTCCTGCATGCACACTAGCCAAACTGCCACAGCAATGAACATACGATCTGAAAAATCTACTGATGAATATTCATAATCTGCTCATCCTGCATGTCTCAGCTTGAGTCCCAATTTCTTCATGAAGAAGAAATTCTTAATTCTTTTTCTCTTTGAAAGCATCCACTCATCAAATGTTTTTTTGAGCACCTACTGTATGCCAATCATGGTTGATAGGAACAGGGGATACCACTGTCAGTGTGGTAGATTATATTACTGTTTCCAATTATTTGCTGCTCCCAACCCCTATAAGAGGATTAAACGTCCCCTTACCCCACCCCATTCCCACATTATCAAGCTTGGCCATGTCACTTGCTTTTGTCAATGAAATGTGAGCAGAAGTGACATATGTTCCTTTTGAGCAGAAATTTTAAGAGACATTGGGGATTTCCCTTTTGTTCTCTTGTAATTTTCCCTCTGCCATAAAAATGCATGGTTCAGATAGAACCTGCTGCTTCAGCAAAGACCCTGAAATGAATCAGACATACAGAATAATCACTGCTAACACACAGCTGCCAAAGTCAACATGTAAGATGAGTGAGAAAAAGAGCCTGTTGCTATTATACATCACTAAGATTTTTCAGGTTGTTTGTTATACAGCATCACCTAGAGAAAACTAACTAACACAGTAAAACAACACAGACTGAGATACTATGCTTGACGAGGTGACAATCTAGTGAAATGCCTATTATATATATCACCTATATCATTCTGTAATCTCCTATGAATTATCTTGCTTTCTAATAGTTTTCTATATGCAGGTCTGGCCTTGAACATAAGATTAGGGCAAGGACTGTATCTTTTACTTTATAGAATGTTTGTTTGTGTTTAAGATAGTCAGTAGACATGTATGGACCGATTCCTAGGAGCCCTGCTATTTTCCTACTCTATTTTTGTTCTTGGTATGATCAAGGAAATACAACAAGATATATCAGAGTTGAAAAGGAGTTAAACACTAGTGTTCTGGTAACAACCCACCAAAAATGGTTATTTCCTTAAACGAATATTTTGGGCGTAAGAAAAAATATATAGCCATTATATTAAAAAAAAATAGCATCAGCTATTTGTAAATCATTAGGATGTTTACAGAAGTTACCTATTAGTAAGTAATTTTATAATTAGGAAAAGAGAGTCCCAAGTGACATGTGAATATCAATAGACAAAGGAAATAATCAAGTAATATGGCATTAAAAGAAAATATTATTCACATTTCTCATATCCTAATGACTAAAAAAGTTTTAAAAACTCATTTGTAGAACAAATTTTATAGTACTCAAATGCTTCACTTTCAAGCATATATAAACACAAAGTCTAATCTTCAGAGAAATGATATTAAAGGGACTAAAAATGTTAGATGTTCATTCTAAGTCTAAACAAAATACCTTCAAAAGTTTTTAGCTTTAAAATCACTTCCTTATTAATTAAATTTAGTAATTACCGGTCTTTTCTTGTATAAAAGATATGAAAGATGCAAAATGTTGACACCCAAGAACACAGAGTTCCAGATCATTATATCCAAGGCACATCGGTAGAGAGTGGCCCAGACGATATAAAGGGTACATCCTGTTGAATAACAAAGTGAATGTGTTAGATATGTAGAACAGCTTCAGCAGGTAGCTGAATAAATTTGTTATTCTCTGTAGATGCAGTAGTCCACCCTTTTCCTCTCCCAGTGAATACCTGAATCGTGGATAATGCCTAATCCTATTATATACACTATGTTTTTTTCAATCCGATAACCAAGATGGCTACTAAGTGATTAATGGGCAAGTAGCATATACAGTATGGATTTGTTGGACAAAGGGATGATTCATGTCCCAGGCAGGACAGAGCAGTACAGCATGAGATTTCAAAGTACTACTCAGAACAGCTTACAATTTAAAATTTACAAATTATTTATTTTTGGAATTTTCCATTTAATATTTTTGGACTGCAGTTGACCTCAGTAAGCAAAACCATAGATAAGGGGGGACTACTACTGTAGCACTCAAAAATGCACCTGAATAAATGGGTCATTAGGGAAATAATCACATAGAGAGTAATTTGTCAACAATCATTGGCTAATAGATTTAATTGTTTCAATATTTTGATGTAAATCAATTTAACCTGCTTCACTAGGGTTACTGGGGTACATATATATATATATTTTAATATATATTTATTTATTTAAACTATTGTGTCTGGGTAGTTGCTTTATTGGCCACAGCAAAGTGCCTTTTCAAATAATAATAGTTAAAACTATACAGTAAGTACTTACTATGTGCCAGGCACTATTCCAAGTCAAATATATATATGAGACACACGCACACACTCTCTTACTTAATTCTTACACAATCACCCCAGTAAGTGGTATTATTTTTACCACTTCCTGAAAATGGAGGCAGTAGAAAGGTTAAATCACTTGCCCAAGTTACTCAGCCAGTAATGAAACCAGGATTTGAATTACACAGTCTGGCTCCAAAGCCCACACTCTTATACATGAATGGATTTTCTGATATCTGAAAAATCTAAACAACATATGAAATCATATATAGTGTTACCTAAAGTAAGTGAGAGATATGGCACGTGAAGATCTATGTTCTAAGTTACTTCATATAGTACTAATTCAGTAATGAAGACATATTTTTTGGTATGCTATGGCCTGACAAGGAATATTCTGAAGCCCCTAATACAAAGCCCATCTGATGCCAGTTTTAGAAAAGTTACATAAAATCTCAATCAGGTATCTTACCTATAGCGAACATCACCCTAAGAAATATCATATGAAGGTGAAGAGTAGTTGGAATAATCAATCCGATTGCAAAACAAATATTTGCTACGTGAAAAACTAGATGATGTATCTCTCTCCAGTTTTCACAAGTGGTCTCATTGGAAGGCACAGGTATGGTACTCTCTAACTCAGGTGTAAAACCTATGGCAGTTGTTTCTGCCAATAGGCTAGACTCTGTATAATTCATCTTGAAAATTCCTGTAAAAACAAATAAACAATAAGACAATCATAAAAATAGCTACTGTATCTTATTACCCCTGTAAGTGTTCTGTCAAAATTATTTCTGTGAATGAAGTGCCGATAAACAGACTTCTCTGGTGCTTATGAATTAGATAGACCCATGTTCAAATCCCAGCCCTGTCACATATTAAATGTATACATTTCCTTACCTGTTAAATGATGATAATAATACCTCATTTGCCTCATGATTAAATGAAATGAAATATATAAAGTATTTAGCACAGTGGACAACTATTCCCTTATATATACATGTACGTGTGTGTGTACACATACACACACACGCACACACACACACACATATATACACATACTTGGAGGTGGAAGGTGATGGAATTACTAGTCTAAAAGACAATCACCAATGTTCATGTACCACAGCAATTACAAAGTTATTTACTATAGTCTTCTAGCATATTTCCACTAGTGACACTGAATCCAAAGGCAGGAAAAATAACTGGAAAAACTAATTGTTTGAATACTCTGTAAAATATTATAACCCTCATCTCTACTATTTGAAGACTTAGGATATTTAGAAGACTCTATTTTTATACCATCATTAAATCATTGTATCATAGATACATACATAATACATTAACATAAATGTACATAATATATAATCATATACATTATTCTAAACATTTATATACACACAGAGAGATGTAACATTTAAACTTTCTCTTACTGTATAATTTAAATCTTTCTTTGCCATAATAATTCCAGTTGGTAGCATCTCGCAAATTAGAAAGTAGTTAACTTCCAGTTTACTTATATGTAGGAGACGTCATGAATATACATTTGACTATTTAATACTAAAATCCATAGCAAATACATTTCAAAGAATATACATTTTACACATGCTTACATAAAACTTAACACAAAGTGGTACTATTTTTTGACTATACTACCTGTCCTTGGTGTGGTCCTTAAAATACTTTCTATTATTAATTACACAAATTTGGTCTTTGACAAACACTATGTTGGTTTAAAGAATATGTGAATTATTCTGTTTCATGAAAAGCATTCCAGACGGGGCTCAAAATACCTTTAAATTTAATTTAGAAATATGTATTTCTTTCAAAATAAGCTCATGCGATTAACCTTACTTTTCTATTCATTGTTTTTGACCATACTAAAGGTTTTAGATGGTAGAATAATTGGTACAGAATGGGCAGCTTGGAAAGATGTTAACAGACAAATATGAAAGAATTCCATATCTCTTAAGATGATAAGAAATACACCTAAATTTACAAATTCAGAATAAATGATCAAGTCAATTAAAGATCTCTTTACATAATTCTGAACTAGCTTATCAATACAATAATAGTTGGCTTAGGTACTGATTAGCTATAAAAAGGAAAGAAACATAAAACTTCTACTACTTTCCAAATGTCTCAATCAAAAAAATATAAGCCTATTGCACAATGGGGGGAAGATCATTATTTTAATAACTCCATTTATAAAAGTTTGCTTTTGAGGGTCAAATCAGAACTAATCTCATAATTTCTACAGGAGAGAGAATAATATTAAATGTCGTCTATCACTCATAAGCTAACATTAACTACCCCAGCATTACGTAAGTTAATAATAACTACCATTTCTACAGCACTTTAAATGTGCTCACACTCCCATTGTCCTATTTGTTCTTTTTTTCTTTTTTTTTGAGACAGAGTCTTACTCTGTTGCCCGGGCTAGAGAGTGCCATGGCGTTAGCCTAGCTCACAGCAACCTCAAACTCCTGGGCTCAAGCGATGCTTCTGCCTCAGCCTCGCGACTAGCTGGGACTACAGGCATG